GGTTTCTGCCGCCCAATAGTGGGCTCTCCAGCGTTCGCTGGGTGCTTTCCTTTATGCTGCGCCGGGCTTTAAGCCGGGTTTTTTTCTTATCCTCAAAAATCAGAGTATAAACTCTGAGCAACTTATTTGGCGTAAGTCTTCTTTAGTTTATTTTGAAAAAGGGATAGGAATATTTGAACCGAAATCCATCATTTGCAGTAGAATAACTGCGTACTATTTGAATTCTGCCCACAGACGGTCGTTCGTGTCCGGAATCCGAACCTATTCGCCCCCTATCCCTCCCTCTTGTCCCCGTTCACCAGCAAACCAGACTGATTTGAGCCGAGGTCGGATGTACTGACCGTCTCATCATCCAACCACAGCCTCTCGACTCCCATCCATGCCACCAACGCACTTTTTCCCCTCCCAGTATGTCACGCACCCGTTTTAAAAGACAATCTGATAAACTGCAGTGGCATGCAGGCAAGTTCTAAATTCCGACAGTCCGGGCTTTCGCCTTGATGCAGTATCTACGCTTTTGTGTCTCTTGGCTGTCGCTGCTCATGTGAGCGCTCGTTTGTTAAATTTATCACAGACTAAACCCAAAACCGATTGCTGGGACGTTTGCGTACCAACTATCCTACTTACTGAGTTGAAGATTGCAATATTATTCCACTGAAATGAACGGTTATTAATTTTAGGTTTACACAGAGCCGAACCTAAGAAATTATGTGCGGATATGTGCGCTGTTCCTTCAGACTAACTTATCAATCAGCAGCTCATAGTAAAGCCATGCAACCTCTCGATAATGCGTGCTTGAAAATTGCCCTGCCCAAAATCAGAGTACATCGTTCTTACTTTAATTAATGCTACAGACAGGCCAGTGAAAGCTCTTACTAAATATACTATGCACGTAGTTAAACTCGGTATCCTTCGGTCGCTACCTGCCTATACCTCTGTTTGGCATTTCTGTCCAGTAGATACACTGAAGATTGGTTATCCATAATTAGTATCCTTTCCCCTGTGGACTTGTTTCCCAAATCTACACCTATCACCCAGGTAGATCCTTACGTTTATTATGTACTTTGGGGCAGTCTGATGTGTGCTTGTCAGCTGACTAGATCCAGTTGACTCCTGTCCTTCCGCCTCTACCATCTGACTTCCCTACCTCTTTGTCCCTTCATCCGACAGCTGCCTTGGAGGTCTTTTGTGGTGGGCTGGACACCTTCTGCAACCGCACAGTACCCGACACCCTCACCACCATCCGCAACCTTGAGCAGTCTCGCATCGTCTATGATGCCTATCGGGGCGATATGGAACGTCTGCACTTATCTGAGGACGCTCCCACATCCC